GGGGGGGCTGGGTAGTGGGCAGGGCCATCGGGGGTCCCCCTCACAGTCCCTTCCCCCCTCCTCCATGTCCCCCAACCCCTTACTCACCGGCACCTGGTGCTGAAACACGTGGCCTGGCTCACCAGGTGTTTCAGTACCAGGGCGAGGGGCCAACCATAGAGACGCTCTGGCATCCATGGAGGACCCAGCCTCTGGTTGCCTCAGGGCATGGTCAGGGACCGTTCCCTGCACCGCTTTTTTATACTTTGCTTTTTTCAGACCCCTGGATATCCAGGGGTCTAATTTTCTGCAAGTTTGCAGTGCAGGGAATATTTTTTTGTTCCCGCACATGCCTGTTGCCCTGCCTCAAAGGGGATTGGGGTGGGGCAAGAGGCACGTGCACACTCATGTGGACGGGCCCTATTTGTTCTAATTAATGTTTTTGTTTACATTCTGTTTCAGAGAGCCTTGGCACACCCATTACAAAGGCTTAGAACAAACAATATTTACTTTAATATTAAACGTTTTAATATGACTCTTTTGTTTTGATTTTTTTTCAATCAAATGACATGAATTCAGGACTTGAGGTCTGTGGAGAAGAGTGGTTTGAAATGTAGCAAACCTGTTTCTACTGTTTGTGATGTTCTGCCAAAGCATCTATTCAGGCAGGTGCTTAAGTAACGTTCCTAACTTCAAGCAAGGTGAGTCAATGCAATGACTTTAGTGGGAATATTCCTGTGCTTAAACCTAGGCATATGCTTAAATAGCCGGCTTTATTTCAACCTGTGTGAGGAAATATGTAGTTTATGTGGTTAAGTGTAGCTTTTTATCCTCCTTATTCCATAATTCTGGATCCATTAGGAGGCCTTCATAATCCATTTGGTTATTAAATCTGCCTTTATCTTTGTTGTTGACATTCTCAAAGTAATCATATCACCACTAACAATTTTATATTGAATAAATCTCTCTCAGAACAATAATGATCATTATCAGTGTTCAGACTTTCCTCAGCAATGTCAGGGTAAAATTTCTTTCTAAAGTAGGGTCCTTCCTTTTTAGTGTAAACATTTTTTCTTAAAACAAGTTTCATTTTCAACAGCAAAGTCTGAGAATCTAACAGGTCTTTCAATCTTCATGTCTTTTTCCCAAGAACCAAGTCCTCATTCAGCAGTTGTCGGAGTCACAGAGGCACACAGCAGACGTGCAGTTCTCTCCAGCCCTCCCCCCACTTTCTTCTTTAAAATCTGTGTAGTGGTCTCAGGCTACTGAAGAAAACACTTCCACATGGTTGCTAGGTGGCAGATCTCCACTTAGCAAAGCATTTGCCATATTGTATTACTATTGCATGTTGTAGAATAGATTGGCTGGGTGCCCAAGTCTCCATATCAAAGCTTTTTTTGTATTGTAGTTTTTAGGTTAAAACCTGTGACAAAATCAAGTTCAAATTTCTCAGGTAATGAAAGCAATGTGCCCTTTTAGCCAGGTGCTTGGAAATCTGGGTTAAGTATAATAAAGTATTTGTTGGCTGGAGCTATTTCAGCTGTTTTCTTAAGCTCGGTTTCAGACCCAAATGTTTCAAAACTAATGTGTGTGGCAGAAAACTTGAGGGTGAGGGCCAAGATTAACAGCCACAGACAGGAGGCAAGTATTGTATGCTCCCCATTTATTTTGCACCAACGCCAAAGCTCTAGATTGAAGAGGGATCTAAACCACAATACGGTGATCTGGATTCAGTCTTCAGAGTTCAACATCCAGTTCAGATCCATCTGTAGCTGGCATCTTTGGCCAGCTTTAGCACTGTCAGTAGCCACCTCTGCAAAATTTGAAATACACCACGCAGACAGAACTTGAGATGGTACTGGCGTCTATTTGTTTAACTATAAACACATAGTTTTTTGTTGTTGTTGTTAGTTTTAAAAAAAAAAACCTTAAACTTTTTTTTAACGTGCTTGGCATTTAAATATTTTTTGTATTTTATTTGTATTCTTCTCATGAAAAATGCTAGATTGTCATTCATGGAGACCACAGATTTGTTGTCTGAACCCAATAGGGATTTGGAGGCAGGAACTGTTCAAATTATCCTCAACATGGAAGTGGAGGCAGTTGATTTTGTAGTGAAATGACACTTTATTTGCCATGCACACGCAACCCATGGCTTTTTAGAATGCACAGGAAGCTTGTGAGCAAGAGTCTGTTACAATGAAGATGGTTATGCAATGTACATACTCATCTATTAGGAACTAAATTGAGACCCCTGATCTGCTCTGGTTCATGTTGCTGAAACATGATCAATGGTAACTTCTGGATACTACTTTTAATCAGGTTTTGCATAGATTAAAACTAAATTTCAAAATGAAAAAAACATTCATGAGTTAGGTATAATCCATTGCAACCATCTATGAGATTGCACAAGTACAACTAGGAGCACTTGTCAGGGCATTTTGAAATGTGGCTGTTTGGCTGAATTTCTCATTCCCACTGGATCCCCAATTCTGCAAACACATACGAGCTTATGTTGACCAGAGCCCATGAGTAGATCTAGGGACGCAAATAGTGGGGTGTGTTGTCCCAAGGACTCCTTGAGTGTAACTTGGTTTGCCTGTTACATGGTGCTTCATCACAGATAACATGACACACGTTTTGATCAAGTTAAAAAGAAGTTAGAAGCTTTACAAAGAAGCTGCAACTGCACCACTCCTGGATCCGCCCCTGTCTGGCCAGAATTTACGTGCAAGCATGGTCAAAGCCTTTGTTTTTTCAGGTTTAAATGAACCACAGACCTTTAGGTGAAAGCGAGTTTGTCGGGGATCAGTATCAAGCCTTGTATCAACAAAGCACAAACACCTGTCACTTTTCTGATTTCCTTTGAAAAGTGTGGAGATCCCTGATCCTTCAGATTTACACGCGCGCTCAGCTTAGGCAATCGCAGTGGATCCAAGAGTCGTTCTCCATTCCTGCCAGGCCAAAGAAACAACTTGGCCGCAACCTTTTCCTTGCAGCCACAGGGACAGCGGCTGGCAGCCCCATAGCTTTAGTGGTACCACAGCCCATTCCCGGCTCGCTCCCGAGGCTACCTCACCATACACTTAACCGTGGTTATAGTGGCCCTGACCTGACAGAAAGGACCCGGGTCCCAGCTTTGCCATAGCCCTAGGCTACGGGAGATACATTCACAGGTAGAGTGGGGAATAGGCTCCAAACTTGGCACAGAGGAGGTGGGGACGGTCAGGAGACAGGGGCTGGCACCCAGGGGGCAGCTCACAGACGTGGGGAGCGCTCGGGTCCGGGCACTGGAGCCTGCTTTCCTACCCGCACCCAGGGGCGGGAGCGCAGCAGGCGGCCCGGCCCGGCGCGGCGCAGCGCGGCTCGGAGCCCTCGGGCTGCA